TTAAGGTGATGGAATTATTCTGTATGATGCTGTAATGTTGGATACATGACACTATGCATTTGTGAAAACCCGCAGAACTTTACAGCACCAAGAGTAAAACTCAGTATGTGCAAATTAAAAAACTCATTCTGAAGATTAAGGGGTCCTAGAATGGAAGGCAGAATATAACAAAAGAATCTACCTGTGTTATAAATGTAGAAAACAACCTCACTGAGGAGAGTGAGGGGAAAATGTGCTGACCTAAGTAACTTTGGAGATGAGTGGAGCCTGTAAGACTGAAGACTAAAGGAACTGTGTGTAAGCCCTGTACTCTGATAAAAATTGTTTCCCAAGGGGGATGGGTAATGATTCTGGGGCCACTGTATGTGAATACTGGCATTGAACAATGAAGGAAATGGATGGCAGATGGTGGGAGCCAGGTTTCTCCCTTTTGGAGTGGGAAGTTACAGACAAGCAAAGGGAGAAGGCTAGAATGATCCATATGGTGATGGGTTGGAGTTGGAGACATCAGTATGAACTCATATTTAGTTTAATATAGGTACAGATGGTTACATATAGAAATATTTATAGATACAGATATACATGGATTAGTATACACACACATATACATATTTCCTTGCTCTGCCAGCTGAGAGGACCTAGAAACAATGTTACCCAAGTGGCAACAAGCGTACCTAGCACCTAGATCTTGGTTTCTAATGCCATTATCTGATAAAAAGAAACCAGGGTTCCTTGGAGAAATGTCTGGTTCAGGACTAGGGCAAGAAACGAACAAGATGAGCCTGTAGTGTCTTGTAGTGCCAGAAAGTAAGGAAGTGCTCAAACCAATCAACCAACCAAACAGTGCTGGGGTGTGCCACAGGGGCACAGGAGCCAACTGAAAGGGCTCTCGGTGGCCAAAGATGGAACAATTTGAGCAAAAAAGTAGATAATATACTGTTGGATTATAACCCAAAGTATAAAATAAATATCCATGAGTCCATTCTGCTATAAATAAATGATTGAATAAATAGATGGGGGAGAATAGACAAACCTCCCATGCAGAAGAATTCCAAATAATTTATGTAGATACTTTGCCCTCGAGAAGGTGGAGCACATCTGGCCACTTCCTTCCAGAGAGACTTCCTTCCGAAGTTTGAAGTAATAGTGTTATTTATGTAACCAATTCCCTATTGACGGGCATTTTTTTCTCTTCTGTCTCTCTTTTTTTTTTTTTTTCTGAGGAATATCAGCCCTGAGCTAACATCCATGCCAATCCTCCTCTTTTTGCTGAGGAAGACCGGCTCTGAGCTAACATTTGCCAATCCTCCCCCTTTTTTTGGTCCCCTTTTTCTGCCCAAAGCCCCAGTAGATAGTTGTATGTCATAGTTGCACATCCTTCTAGTTGCTGTATGTGGGACGCAGCCTCAGCATGGCCGGAGAAGCGGTGCGTCGGTGCACGCCCGGGATCCGAACCCGGGCCGCCAGCAGCGGAGTGCACGCATTTAACTGCTAAGCCACGGGGCCGGCCCCTCTCTTCTCTTAATTTGTAAACAGTGCTTCAGTGAACCTTTGTACATATGTCCCTCTAAATTTCTGTATTTTCATAAGATAAATATTCTAGGGAGAGTATAATTTTAACATCTTGAAAGATATAATCAAGTTGTTCTTCAAAATGGTCCTATGAATTTGTACTCCCCAAAACAGTGTGTAAGAGTACCAATTTCTCCACACTCTTGGTGCAATATATAACTCACAGAGGGTTAATGTATTTTCTTTAATGAACAAAGACCTTTTACTAATCAATAGTAAGAGGACAGATGTCCCAATAGAAAGATGGGTAAAGGACCTGAGCAGGTCATTCACAAGGCAGATAGTACAAATGGCCTGTAAGTATTTGTAACAAAAAACTGAAAAAAAAAAAGTGCAAAAAAAACGTTAACTGCGTAGTCATGAAAGAAATGCAAAGTAGAAACAGTAAGACGGGCTGGCCCCGTGGCTTAGCGGTTAAATGCATGTGTTCCGCTACTGGCGGCCTGAGTTTGGATCCCGGGCGTGCACTGACCCACCGCTTCTCCGGCCATGCTGAGGCGGTGTCCCACATACAGCAACTAGAAGGATGTGCAACTATGACACACAACTATCTACTGCGGCTTTGGGGAGAAAAAGGGCAAAAAAGGAGGAGGATTGGCAATAGACGTTAGCTCAGGGCTGGTCTTCCTCAGCAAAAAGAGGAGGATTGGCATGGATGTTAGCTCAGGGCTGATCTTCCTCAAAAAAAAAAAAAAAGAGAGAAACAGTAAGACATTATTTTGACCATTAGGTTAGTAAAGAAAAAAAGAATCGTAATAACTGCTATTTGCCTGTGTATGGGAACATGGATCTGCTCAAACTTGTTGACGGATAAACAAACAGACCTTTTGGAGGTCAAGTTTTTTATATATACTTTTGAAAAAAGGTATACACACTTTTATTCACTCGACCTCAGAGAATTCATCCTAAGACATTAATTAAAAATATATAAAGATGTATGTATAAATATGTTCACCACAGCATTGTTTGTTACAACAAAATAATTAGAAATAACCTATCCAACAATAGGGGGTTACTTAATGATGATACATCCTGAAGATGAAATACTTGGCAGCTGCTAGTAGAATAATATTTATTTACTTATAAAAATTCTTGTGATAATATCATTAATATATACCCACTTAACTGAAAAAGACAAACGTATGTTCTATGTATGGAGAAGAGACTAGAAGGACACATCCATAATGTTTATCATATTGGTGTGTATGAGAGAGAGAGGCTGCAGATGATTTCTGACTTTTGTGCTTATCTCTGTTTCCCTTGTTTTTTGCATTAAGCTTCTCTTAAATTTTGTAGTTAGACAAGAGAATAAAAAATGTTTAAAACTATGCTGATTCTACCTTTGTAATGTCTTTCTTATGTGCCCTTTCTCTCCATCTTCAACATGGCCCTACCCTAGCTCAGGCCTCCGTCATTTAGACCATTGCATCAACTTCCTATTGGGTGTCCCTGCCCCTACAAAAGGACCTAACCTGTCACTCCTCTGCTCAGAAGCCTCTGGAACTCTCCCAACGTAGAATAGTGTCTTAGGTCCTTCTTGTCACCTTGTTGCTCCAGACCCCCACAATCTGAGCTTCGCTTCCCTTTCCAGCTTCAGTCTCCCTCGTTACTCCCACCCCACAGAGCACCTGCAACACCAGTCTTGTTGGACTACTCATCTCTCCCTGGTTGTGGTCACACCTCAATCCTATCTTCACCTGTTTAAAGTCTACCCATCTTTCAAGGCCTACATCCTCCAAGAAGCCTTCTTCTGTCATTACCTCCCCCATACTCCAGTTCACTTGGTTTGTACTTCTATGGCCAGGATCACCAGCTGCCTTTTAATACAGTGATTTCTGGAGGATCCTGCCTCCTCCTTTGGTCACCTCCATATCAGGCATGGACTGATAGGGTCTGGACTCACAGTTCCTAGAGCCCACACACAGTAAGGGCTTCATGAAAGTCTGTTGAATTGAGTTGACCCAGAGTTGCCTCTGCACACCATGTGCTGCAGATCAGAGTCAACTCTGCCGTATTCCATAATTATGCCTTAAATGTGTGATTTTTTGGCATGCAGGAATCTATTAAATCATACCATATAAACTATCACACTTGGGATTATGTGACATAAAAATGTGCATGTATAAAATAAAAGGATTATGGGCGTGTCATTTGGTATCCAGAAAATCTTTCTTCCATAACTGGCTAGTTAACATTTGAGTCTAAACTTAATTTTAGGCAATTCCTTGGAAAAAATGATTTTATGGAAACCAAGGCGTGTCCTGGAGGCAACCACAGATGATTATGCAGAGAAAACTTTTCTGTAATATTCCTGCTTAATATAAAAAGCAAATTTTTGATTCTTGATTATTCTTGCTTTGTTTTCTCCTTGAAAAGTGATGAAATTTCAGTAAAGAGAATACACTTGGTTGCAGCAGTAAATGTCCTTTGTTAACTCTTAAGTGTTTTTTTCTGTGTGAAATTTAGAGGTTTTAGATGCCTCACCTTCCTTTTAATTCCACACATTCCCCGTACTCTGCCCAGCTCTCCACCTTTCTTTGCAGTGCTATCATTGCACTCTTGGGCATCCGTGTTATCACATAGAACTGTTGTCATAGTGGTGAAATATAAACAAGAAAGCTAACCACTTCTCAGCATTTCTTGGCATGAAGTCCCTTCTGTGTTTCATTGAGTTGTCATGCAAGTCAACTACACACTGGTAGATGATTTTCTTGCTTCCACCAAAGGGCTCAGGGGCTCGGGGATGTTGCTTTATGTGAGATGCCAAGCATGAAAGATGTTCTGAACCAAAAGTACCAGTAGACCCTTTTGGCGTATGCTGTCTCCAGAAAAACATGCCCCTTAACCTGCATTGCTTTATGGAACTTTGAGAGATGCTTTTGTATCATTTAAATTATTGAGTGAACCTCTCCTAGAAAATTAAATTTGTTACAACTGTGTGAATATTGGTGAACCCTTCTTGTCTTGGGTCTGGCTGGGGATATGGATCTCATGGGTGTCACTGCCACTATGCATATCCCTTTGTCTGGTCATTTGTCCACCTATCCACCCACCCACTCATTCATCCATAGTCTCCCCGCAACTGGGACCCTTCTGAGCAGGACTCCTGCTTGATTCATCTCAAAATTCCCTGCAGGACCTTCAGAGAGACTCATATGTCGTGGAGGCCCAATAACTCCCCTGGATGATGATGGAAGCACTTCTCTCAGCACCACTGTGTGTTGGAGAGAAGGTGCTGAGAAGACGGGACCCATTTGCAGGGTTGGGTGTTGTAAAGGAGCCGTCAACCTCATGCAACCCTAGGCTGTGCTCTCCCGCGTTCCCAGCCTCTTGGAAGTCCCGAGACAGTGGTGGGCAAGGGTGACATGGGTGTTCCAGCATTTAACAACTTTTCTGGTGTGTGTGTGTACGTGTATTTGACTCTACAGGTCAGTTTTTGGGTTGTACGAGAAATTCTAACAGCACAGACTTTAAAAATAAGGGCAGAAATCCTGAGCCATTTTGTGAAAATAGCCAAGGTAAGCTGTTTTATTAGTTTTTTCCCTTCCTTTCTTTTTTTGTGTCAAAAATGTGTTTCCTCAGTACTTTGGGAGCTGGTTTGCTCTGGGCCTGCTGGGCAGGGTTCAGGCAGGGGGCTGTGACCTGACTTCCCCAGGCAGGAGTGGCGGTAAGACCAGCCTGGCTGCCCACTTGGCCTCCCAGCCCCTGTGCATGCATTGGCAGCATGCCCCTCCACCCCATGATTTTGGCAGCCAAGCATTCTCCTTACCTGGCCTTTCACAGACTCTCCATGAGACCTCTGGGGCTACGCCTAGGACCCATTCATCCTCCTACTTCAGGTTTAGCCACTGCTGGGGGTTGATGGGTTTTAATTAGCATCGATGGTTGTGATACCATTATATCCTGCATAATTTTGTCTCCAGTCAGCAGAGCTCACTCCATCCCATTCTGAGCTTGAGGCCTGGGCCCCATGACTCTGCTGCTCCCCACTCCCAGCTCCTGCCCCTTGGTCTGATGATAGGTTCTGTCCTTGCTGGTTGTTGAGCACCAGGCTCACGTCTGCACCATGCCTGTCCCCTCCTCTTCCTTCATCTCTGCCAGGCCAGGCTGTGACCCCATGGGCCTTCCTTGACCACTCTCATCACTTACACAGCCCTCTCAGCTCCTGCACATACACTGTTCCCGACCACCGGGCCTGCCTGACTCTCGGCAGAGCACTGTTCTGTCTGGTTCACCACTTGCTTCGTGTGCACATGTCTTCCCACCGAGATCCTAGGCCAACTAACCTTTACTGAGGCCCCTCCCGAGCCAGGCACCGTAGCAGCTGCTTTACTGAGATGCTCATGTTTTATGCTCATATTATCATCCCATTTACAGAGGAGGAAGGGGAGGCTTAGAGAGGTGTGTGTCCATGCCAGGGCCCCACAGCAAGTCAGTTGGAGCACGTCTCTCTGCCTTCAGGGGAGCTGCTCTGCTGCCCATCACGGGAAGGTTAAGTGCATCCATCTATAAGTGTGTTAGGGGCAATGGACACTCGTGTCCTGTGCATTCTGAAGTACTTGGAACCGTGTTGGGCTTGATGATACTTGTTGCTATCAGTGAGCTCATGCTGGGCTACGAGAGAAAGTGGGATGAAGTTCCAGCCCACCTGGTGCTTGAGTTTGCAGTCCCCACCCAAGGAACCCAAAATGATCCCTTCTTACCTCTGCTATCTTCCGATGGTGGATCATCGTGTTGGCACTGTGCCCTGGGTGTGTTCTTGTGCAAGCCCCCTCCCTCCTCTGGACCTTGGTTTCCCATCTATAAAATGAAAGGGGTGGGTTAGATAATCTCCCCGAGGACCTTCATCTCTAAAAGAAACTCTGTGACAGGCACAGCAATTCAGAAACATAGGATGAAATTCAGTTCTATTATTACACACAAGAAACAATTGGAGAATGTTACAAGATGTTTGAGATGAAGTATTCACTTGTGTGGAAGGGAGAAATCTCCTAGTAGGAACAGAGCCATAAGGACTAGGCATAAGGGCTTTTCATTTGTTTCTTCATTTTACTAGGCCCTACTATGTGCTGGGTGCTGTACTAGGTACTGGGGGTATGATGGCAGGTACAACTTCATCCCTGCTCCCAGGGAACCCACAGTCCAGGGTGAGAGAGAGGCAAGAAAAAGTAAGTACAGTCCAGTGTGCTAAGGAGATGCACACACTGCTGTGGGAACACACAGGTGGGGTCCCCACTCTTCCTAGATTTGGGAACATGGCCAGGAAAGACATACTAGAGGAAGTGGCATCAGAGCTTGGATGTACCCAAGACAAGTTATGGGGACTGGGGGAAAAGTCTTCCCGACAAAGAGTGAGACCCACATTGCTCTAATTACCCTGGTGCCAGGGACTGGTCCAGGCAGATTAAATGCACCGTCCCATGTAGCAAAGGTGCCGTGGTTACCTTCCTCATTTTAAATATGAGGACGCCAAGGCTCAGGAGGCTTAGATAACTTGCCAAAGGACACACAAGCAGTGGGAGCGGGGATTGGAACCAGGTTTGTTGGTTCCATAGATCCTGCTCACTACCCCAAACTTCACTGACTCCCAAGAATGAGAAATGGAACCCCAGTCTTGTTAGCAGGTTTCCCTCAGCATAAAACCAAGAATAGAGCAATTACATCTGTCTGTACTTACTCTCGACTGTGTCTCTTTCTGTTGTCCTCCATGGTAAGGAGCTTGTCTGGGACTGAATTGAATCCAAATGTTCTCCCTCATGCGGGTTCTGGTTCAAAGGAGCATGGTCAAGTGGTTGGGAAGCCAGAGCTTTGTCTCCCCAGCTGAGAGGGATTACGCAGATTGATAACATCTTGCCTCAGCCTCTCTAATTCCGGGTGTTAAGGTAATCACAGAAGACCCACGTTGATATTGTTGGCACAGCTGAGGTTTCAGTTTGCAAATGCCTGCTGGGATGGTTCAGATTTGTCTAAAAAAAGAACATAAAGAGCATTATCAAACCTGATCCCGAGCCACGCTTCTGTCCAGCAACCAGACCAGTCAGCTGATGAAATTTTGCAAATGTTTAGATGCAGACTCACCTTTTGACAATTTGCAAGAAAAAGAGCATATGGTTTCTATGAACTTCCTAGAGCTATATTTTCTACATGAGATATTTTTAAGTATAATTGAATTTCATAAATATGACAACATTTGGTAACACTTGAGCATGTTTTTGTTCTGTTGTTTACAGCAGCAAAATAATCTACTCCATATCTTTTTTCAGAAACTTCTAGAACTCAACAACCTGCATTCTCTGATGTCTGTGGTGTCAGCATTACAAAGTGCACCCATCTTCAGGCTGACAAAAACCTGGGCTGTAAGTTAATCCTTTTAAGTCTATTCCTTTGATTTTGGCTATTGTGTTGTTGATGAAGTTCTTCATTCCTTAAGCCCCAGAAGGCTTTCTCTGACTGTCTGCCCTTTGCCAACATGGAGGAGTATCATGGGTTAATGAAATGTTCTCTGAGCATCCTCACTCCTTCAGTGACCTCAGCTCCATTTTGGGACAAGGAAGTAGAGAGGACGCTGACGTGGCTGGGGTCAGAAGCCCGCTAGAGTGGACCTTCCTGGATCCTACAGTGTCCTTGCGATGGCTGGCTCAGCGATATGACTTCTTCCCTCCGTTTGGCTGGTGTTCTTTTCTGGCAGGCTCCAAACTGCCCTTGGGAAGGTCTCTGGACTGATGGCTCGCAGCTGCCCTGCGTTGTTGGCCATACAGCTAAGAGTTTCTCTGGAGAAACCTGTGACCCTCTTGTAGGGAAAAATGATTTTTTTTTCCTAAAGGCCATGAATTATTTCAGCTCAGAGGTGGAGTCTGATAGTTATATAATTGAGTCTGTAGGAAAGTTTTTCTGCTGTAAAAATACTTTAAAAATATCTCAGACCTCTTTATCCTCCTTCGCTTGGCACAGTGCCTGACATGGGGGAAGTAATTGCTGTTTCCATAGCTCGTTAGCATTCACCTCCTGGCCCGCCTGGTCCAGGGTCTCTCACAGACACATAGCCCAAGCCTTTCAAGACCTGTTTATGTCCCATAGAACTGAAGGAAACTATATGGAATTGTCAGCTGTGCTTCTGCAACTCATTTCCGAGCTTCTTCCTGCCAGTCTGTGGGGCTGGGCTGTGTTTCATACTTGGCTAGTTCAGGGGCCTTTAAGATACTTAGGGATTATGTTGTAGATGATCAGAAATGAACCTTGTTTCTTTAAATTGCAATTTTCCATGCATCTAGCCCTAGCAAAGTGGAGTGAGAAGTGTGAGCCTGGAGTCAGAAAACTGGGTTTGTGTTCAGGCACAGTTCAGAGTATGACTTCTGTGGGACTTGTTTCCTGTGTCGACTCAGAGAGGTTGGCCTAGATTAGTGGTTTTCCATCAGTGTCTCCTGGAGCCCCAGGGTTCCTCAGAGCTGCCTTGGGGGCCATGAGGGGCTGAGGGAGAGAGAGAGGGTGCCAAACAGACAGCTTGGGCACTGTTTCCACCAGAGTGGCTCTGTTTGTATCAGTTTTAGTCCTGGGCTTCTGGGTGAATTTCTGTTGAGCAATGGCTTTGGAGGTCGAAAGCAAGTTTGGAAGCCACTTGTCTCTGCAGTTGCTGCCAGCCCTGTGATTCCCTCAGTCCATCTGAGCCATGAGGCTTTTTTCAAAGTTGATTGGAGATTCTTTTTCAAATGAATTTTCCATCATTTAGATGATGTTATTGTTTCTTGGACTGCTGGGAACTATGTGCAGACCCAGAGGAATGAATTATGACTCTCATGGTGCACAGCCCTTACTGTCAGTAATATTGTGACTCTCTGTGACCCCTGTAAGCTGTATAGTTGGTGAGGGCAGTAGGGAGTCTTGCAAGCCACCTCTCGCCCACATGTTAGTCTGAGGACAGTGGTTGGCGCAGAGCATTTGGGAAATGGAGGGGCCCAAGCTCATCATCTTTCCCCTTCATCCAAATCCCCAGAGCCCAGTGGGATTGATGACTCCACTGTATTCCTGACACTGTCTCCACACCTGTCCTTACAGCACACAGCACATCTGCTCTGTAGCTTTGTTTACAGGTCTGCCTCCCGCTTTGGACTGCCTTCCTTCATGATGAGGTCTGATTTTTCTCTGTATCCTTGGTGCCCAGCTGAGTATATGCTTGTGTTTGAATGGTATGTCTGTTATGCTGAATCGCATCCTTCTTTTGTTATTAATTTGTAGTAATAAGATTATCCATAGACATATTGCCAAAAAAGAGCTGTTTTTCCTCTCCCTACTTGTGTTGGTGAGACCTCATGGACCCACAGAGCAGAGAGGAGCAGGAGCCCTGGAGGCCCCGCGATAGCAGCCCAAAACGTCAGTGCTTCTATAGTCTTCATTTTTCAGAGGACACTGAGGTTCCAAGAGGTGCAGTGACCTGTCCAAGATCACAGGTGAGGGCTGGAGCGGATGTGATGCAGCCTTGCCTTGCTGGACCCCATAGTCCATGTTCTTGGCCAGTGTGCTGCATGGCTTGTCAGTGACAGAACCTGGTGTTGGAATCAGGCTGGGCACAGGGCAGGGAGAAATAGGCACACACACTGCTTAGGAAGTGGGGCTGGAGAAGTGAGGCTGGCACACAGGCCCTGGGGGACAGGATGCGACTAGCTTCCTGGGTGCTGTCCCTGGAGTTACATTGAAACCCTGGCTATCTAGGAAGCCTGGACAGAAGGGAGTTACAGGTGTAGGAGGAGACCTGCCACTTGGTTGCACCGTGGGTGACCTCCAGTGAGGGCCAGTTGGTCGTTAGTTGTAGGGCAGGGCAGCCTATTGACATGTCCATGGCCGGCCGCTGAGTGCTAGCAGCTGAGTGAGCTGGGACAGGACAGAGACTGATGCTGAGCATAGGCCCTCACATAGTATGCTCTTAATAAATGCTGGCTGGATACACCAACAGAGAGGGACTCACCTTCTGCTGGCCTGGAAACATAGAGACAGGGTCTGATTTACCCTATCACGTGGGCCGCTTGGGAATATTGGCTGCCTTAGAGCCACGAGACCTAAGCAAGAGGTTGTATCGGCCAGTTCTGATTTCCTGAGTACACATTGCCATGCGGCTCTTATTCCTTCTACAAATTCAAATATTTATCAGATGCGTCCTCCATGCCAGGCCCTGAGGCTGTGGTCAACGCCCCTGTCTTCATGGGCTTTTATATTAGTCAGAGGAGACAGACACGTTATTGGGGAGAATAAACATGTGCCCAGTCTGGCTGGCACAAGAAGTGACTGGTAAATGTTTGTTGAATGCCCGGGGTGATGAACAAAGTGCATCAGGTGGGAATAAAAGTGACGCAGAGATTAGAGCAGGAGGATGTGACAGAGAGTGACCGGATGTCTGCTAGGGAAGGCCTCTCTAAGAAGACAGCTCTAAGTCGAGCCTTGAGTGACAGAAGGAGGCAGCCGTGCCGAGATGAGGGCACGAGTGTTCCAGGCAGAGGTCACAGCCAGTGCAAAGGCCTTGGTGGGAAGATGCTTGGTGTGATCAAGAAACTCAAAGGCCAGCATGGCAGGAGCGCAGTAGGCCAGGAAGAGATCGGTGCAAGACACTGTGGACGGCAGCAGGGCCGATCGTAAGGGGCTTACAGCCTGGGAGAGGAGTCAGGTTCTATTCTAAGTGCAGGGAAGGATTTTAAATGGGAGTCGGACATGATGTGGTTTATGGTTGCTTTTTGTTATTTTAATTACTGTTGCTACTGTGTGGAAAACAAATTGTGTGGGTGGTTCAGAGGGCATCAAGAGTGGAAACAGGGTCTAGTTAGGAGGTTAGGGCAGAATCCAGAAATGAGGTGAAGTTGGCTAGGATCAGGGAGGTGGCAGTGGACTTGGAGAGAAGTAGACTGATAGGGGAGGCATTCTGAAGATAGACTTGACAGGCTTTGTGATGGGTGGGGTGTTGGAGATGGGGAAAAGAATGGGCCCCTAGGTTTGGGGCCTGAGCAACTGGGAAGATGGTGAAAACTTTTCACTGATTAGAGTGGTCCTAAGAGGAGACTGACTTCTTCACGAGTGACCTGGAGGTATAGAATTCCTGGAGTATGGGTGAGTCACTCGTTACAGTAATTGCAGTCATGTGCTACACATCACACATCCACACACTCACACATATGCACGCACACACACACACACAGTTTGCTGGCTCTGTACACGTTCCTCTCATGATTTGTTCTTTCCTACTGAATTGATCCAGAGAGTTTGACTCATCTGCAGCAGCAAAGTGAAAACTGAAGTTTTTGGCAGGGAGGAAATCACAGCCAAAGGGTCAGAAGGCCTGGTCTGCAGGGTGGTGACCTGGAAGGAGAACCTCCTGGGAGTGGGGCTCTCACTCCCAGACATCTGGGGGCACAGGGTCATCAAGCTCTGCAGTTTGGAGAATGGCCACTTTGCATATATCCTAAGAAGGCAGATGTGTGGCTTTCACATATTTCAGATTTTAGAGTCTTTCACTCAGGAAGTGCCTCTGCTCCCCTGTGTCCAGTATAGTGCCCCAGTGGCCCCCTCTGATGTGGTTGAGAAGGTGGTGCTAGGCATGGACTGCCTGTTTCAGGCTTTCCTGAGCCTTGGCTCAGGTAGAAGGTGAGATGAGTGAGGGGGTGAGGAGATGGAATGCAGAGGAAACCACCATTTGCAGCCTCTAGTTACTCCTTCCCCAGTCATTCCTCTGTAGTGCCTACACTGCTTCTTAGAAGTTCCCAGTCATGAATTCTGCTGACGTTTTCACCCTCGTCTTCCTTGATGTTGCCATAGCATTGGACACTGTTCGTCACCAGCTTCTTGAAAAATCTCTCTTCCCTTAGCTTAGTTCTCTTCCCCCGTTCTGACAGCTGGCTCCTCCCTGACTGCTTTTGTTCCTCTCACCCACTGGATGTAAGTGTTCTGCGAAGGTCTGACCCCAGTTCCTGCCCTCCCCAATCCATTTCCCATCCTTTGGGGACCTCACTGACTTGGAGAGCTTCAGCCATCGCCTCTGTGACCCAGTGGTGGCTGCCTTCTCAGCTCTCACCCCAGCCTCTCTCTGGAGCCCTAGACCACGTTCCAAGCCCTGCTCCACAGAGCCCTCTGCTCACATGTTCCTTTGACAGCTCACAACTTGGCATATCTGAAATTAAACTTTGGTTTCCAGAAAGTGATAATGAGTGCCAGAAGACTCTCTTAGCAGACTGTGTTTTGGACTTTGAGGCAATATGGTAGACTGACCTGACAAGGACTAAGCCCCTCCCTCCCAACTGCCTGCTCCAAATACACAAACACAAATAAACGCTGGATAAAATACAACCAAATTAAAAACCAAGAAGCAAAGCTGAACTAG